ATTCAAGTAAAAACAAGGGCCAAAAAATTCAAAATGGAGACATCTGTTATTTGTAACTACTTCCAACATTTCAGCACTTAAAGCAGATCATATTTGAAAACCTAACTGCACTAATATACCACAAGCCTGTAGCAATTTGATAGATGCACAAATCAGTCAGTAAGGTTCTTTGCTAGAGGTTATGCATAAATATTTCTACTCAGTAGTCTGAAACACAGCAATATGTCATGTGACAGTAGGACCAGAAGTAAGCTTGCTAGCTTTGTTTGAGGCACTCAGACATATTTACTTCAGCTTTTGTCATGCACCTCAATTTGAAAATATATTTCAAGAGATTGAGGTAATCAACAAAAATAATAAATATGGAAAGTGTCATCCTACAATTTCTTCTGATTTTTTTTTTGCATGTCTTAATATGACCTCTATTATCAAATTCATCATCCTATCTGAATAACTTCAGAATTTTATTATTATTATTTTAGAATGAAGCTGGGAAAGCTTAGACTACTTTATTAGCACATTTGCCTTACTGGAAAGCAAAAAGATTTAACTTTCTTTAGTTTCAGTAAATGATGTCAGCCATTTTAGATGTCTTTATTTAGAGAAGTGGTGATCTCATTTAAATGGGAAGTTGAACTATTATTTAATATTACAGAAATTATTTTTTTTGGTACAGCATTCCTTTCAGGCGATCAAAAACCTTCACATGCTTTAAATCAATGGTCATTTATCATTTTAATCAAACAGACAAAATGTAGCTAGTAGAGGTTGGACTAGAAGATCTCCAAGGTCAAAACGTTGGTATTTTGTTATTTTGTATTCTGTATTCAGAAAAAAAGTTATGGAATATCATACTGAGTTTGCTCATTGTTTTTACACTGTATTTAATTTTTTTCCTTAGCCTCTATTTAAGACGAAGTCATTTCACTGGATTTAGACACTACAAAAAATGGAAGTAAATGGAAGTAATGGAAGTAAAACTTCCAATTTGGCCTTTATGGCCACCTCTAAGGTAATAGGGAAAAACATTAGCCAAAGACTTTTGCATTGCTACTATTATATTCAACAAGATGTGATTTCAATTCTATAGACTATTCATCATATCCTGTTATAGCAGGATCTATTAATATGGTAGATTAAGAAAACATTCCAATTTCCATTTATTTAACAAGAACTGAACCTGAACCTTTTATCTTCTAAAAAAGAATCCTTGGTTGGCATGGGGGAGCTTTCATGAGAAAGTACTACGGTATGAACTTGGTTATAACACTAAAAACAAATTGTTAAACATTTAACATTCTTAAAATATCCTACTTGCTAATTGCAACTCAGCATATATTGCTTTGGAGTCCTTGGTGCTTTCTTGAGTTTGGTGGTTTTTCTGCAAATGTTTTATTAGCCGATTATGTAACCTCTTTAGTGTTAGAAGGATTTGCTCTGTTTGTATGCAGTTGTTTGCTTTTTCAAGTTTTGTTCATCAGCTGCATTATCACTATCATTACTTTTTTCACTATTCTCAAAGACCAAAGTCATGTCAATCTATAGTCAGTAGACTTTGGGATTCTGTTTTTACTAGCACAACCCTTTGTAACACAGCTCAGTCATTATAGCATCTAACAGGACTCAACATGACTCAGGACTCTGGGGATTGAAACTGACTAGATATAAATACTGCCCTACATTATTTATAGCTCTGTACAAAATACAGCACATTGAACTTAAGAACCAGAGGTGGAATGCTACTGGTTTGGGCCGGTTCGCCCAAACCAGTAGTAAAAATGCTACTGGTTCGCTGAACCGGTAGTAAAAAAATGTAAAAAAAAGTTCTGACGATCGCGTGTCGCTCAACTGATCATCAGACTTTTTTTTTAAACTTTTTAAGGATTTTTTTACTACCAGTTCGGGTGAATAGGTAGTAAAAAAATGCTTTAAAAAAGTAAAAAAAGGGCTCGGACTATTGCGCACAACTGTGATTATCTAAGTCTTTTCTTTACTTTTTAAAAGAATTTTTTACTACCTATTTGCCCAAACCAATAGTAAAAAAATGCTTAAAAAGGAAAAAAAAAAGGTTCCCAAAATCACAGCTGTGCCGCGCGGTCGTTGGAACCTGTTTTTTTACTTTTTAAAAGCATTCTTTTACTACCGGTTCGGGCAAATAGGTAGTAAAAAAATGCTTATAAAAAGTTTTTTAAAAAAGGTTCCAATGATCGCGCAGCAAAGCTGTGCTCGTCGGAATCTATTTTTTTAGTTTTTAAAAGCATTTTTTACTACCTATTCACCCAAACCGGCAGTAAAAAATGTTTTTAAAAAGTTTTTAAAAAGGTTCCCAAGATCGCACGCAACAGCTGATTCCCTCCCTTCGCTGTTCTACTTACCTTCCCAAGCCTCCTTTTGGCGCATACTGCGCATGCACAGCCAGCGAACCGGTAACAAACCAGTTCAGATTTCACCACTGTTAAGAACTGTTTGCCAATTACAACTACAACTAGCAATAAAAACTGTGATAAGCTAAAGAGGCAAATGCCTATGTTTTTTAAAAAGTTTAATATCATACCCCATTTACAAAATTATACAGTGATTTTAACATCCAACCTTCTTCCAAGGAGACTGAAAAAGGTGTATAAATAGAAGATAACAACATCATGGGATTACATACTGAACAAATATGTGTGTTCATTTGTTTTTGCAACTATAGGACAAAAATGATACGTTCCAGACACATACATGAGTCTGAGACACATAAAGGAGACTACTATAGTAGATATAATTCACTAAAACATTACTCAACTTAAATAGATGGAATGAGCTAGATAGAATTACTGACTGATGTTGGAATTTAGCCAACAATTTATGCCTGAAGAAATCTCTTCTTGAATGACATATTTGTGCATTCTTATTGAGTATAATAACTACAATGTTTCCCTATAATCTTACTTGTTTACATTGTTGTAAACATTCTGAGTGTAACTCTAAACACTAATTTCAGTCTAAATTATTCCACATGCAAGGAATTGTTTTTCTTGATTTATGTTTTTATACAGGGACCATTCAAATGTAATCTTGCATATTCTTTTTTCAAGTAAAGTTCTATAAGAAATCTATATAGCAATGCTTTTTTATGACTATAAAATGGTCTCAGTATGCTTTCTGAAATAAGTTTTTCAGACTTTTTAAGGAAGATAAATATTTAATCATTATGTAATGCCCACTAGATGCAAAAATAAGATGTATGAAATACATATATTCACAAGTGTATCTATATACCGTGTTTCCCCGAAAATAGGACATGTCCTGAAAATAAGGCCAAGCCTGATTTTGTGGTGGGCCTAAATATACACCCTCCCCTGAAAATAAGCCCCCTCCTCTCTCTCACACACACAGAGGTCCCTCACCCTCCCAACCCTCCCAAGGCAGCCACATCCCTGTGAACTCCTGTACCCCCCGCCCCTTTCTCCTCCCGTGGCACCGACCATAGACCTTGACTGCCTGCTCCTGTGCCATGGTGGCCGCCCACCCACTCTCGCCCAGGCATCAGCATAGCCCACGCTACCGAGTGCCTGCCACAGCAGCCCCAATATAAGCATTGCCATCCCAGGGCTTCCTTGGCAGGGCAGCCACCAGTGGCAGAGAGGCTTCCATGCGCAGCGGGCAGTTACGGAGGCCTAGTGTGTCCAGCAGCTGGGTGCAGGTCTCAACGGGGATGGCTGAGGCACTGCAGGTGTTGCTGCTGCCGCTACCACCTGTAAAGGCTCAGTGGTCCCCTGCAGCCAAGCTCAGCCACGGGCAAGGAGCTTTGGCTGTGGCTGGGCCAGCCAAGCTGTGTCTGTTGGGGCTACCCTCGACATGGTTGCCCAGCGTTTCGCTGCACGGCACCTGGAAAGAGTAAACTGGGCCTGCGATCAGAGCGGAGAGGAGCAGGGCGGAAGGGGAGGCCTCCGGCGACTGTCACCATAGAGTGGGAAGCACACTCCCAGAGCAGCTGCTGCCCTGGCTGGGGTTTGGAAGCCACAGAGGCAGAGTTTGGGGGAGAGAAAGAAAGACGAGTGCTTTCTTTCTCTTCCCCCCTAACTCTGCCTCTGCGGCTTCCAAACCCCAGCCAGGGCAGCGGCCGCTCTGGGAGTGTGCTTCCTACTCTATGGTGATGGCTGGACCTGGACCCTGCAGGGAGAGCTGGCCCAGGCTGTGGCTTCCGTGCGGGTGCTGGTGGTGGGTGTCAGCGGCATTGGCTATGAGCTACGAGGTCAAGGACCTGGTGCTCACCTGCTTCGCCTACATCGACGTGGTGAGGCCTGGGAGGTGCGCAAGCGGGGTGGGTGGGGACAGGTACTTGTGCGGCTTGATGCCTTCAGGCCGCTTGCGTTCTACACACACACACACCATGGGAGGAGAGGGGCTTGGTGGCGGCACGCAAAGGGAGCCTCTCTCTGCTGGCCACCTGAGCACCTGATTATAATCACGTGACTGCAGGGGTTTGCAACAGCCAGAACTTCGAGAACTGGTCATAAGCCAATTTTTTCAGCCTTTGAATTAACTTTGAATAGTCACTGAACAAATGAACATAAGCCAACACCATCTGTACTTTCAAAAAAGAGTCTGAAATACACGCTATTGCAAAAGTTGATAAACAACTCTGAACTAAGAATATAACTTCAATTCTTCTGAATATTTTACTTTTAGTTTAGACATAACTTTCTCTGCTAATTCTAGCAGTGCTTTGGTACCCATAACAATCCTTCTACTTCCTCACAAAGGAGAAAGTGACTACTTCTCTTTAATGGTAACTTCATGGAATCTGAAACAGATTTCTGTTACATTTTTGATGGTATGTACACTCTTGAGAACACACAAATTTAAAAACTCCCATCTTCCATTGATCCAAAGGGGAAAAATTTTTTAGAAACGCAAACTTTATAAATGTTGAGTAATTTCAGGCTCTAGAATGGCAAGCTCATCTTTAAACCCTCCCATTAGATCCTTGGCAATACTGCCAATATACTTACTAGGTCGTAAGACCCTGATCTCCAATAGGTTGGAGGTTCTATCTGCCAATCGGGTCCAGCTACTATTGTAGTTCTTGCGCCACAGCTCGGCCACACATTGGTATTTGCCTGCTTCTGTGTCACTGGCCCTGCTGATGCTCAGGCGTACATTGTTGCTGGACTCTGCTTTCTCAATGGCTGTTCGGGTTCGGAATCCAACATATCTATCGCCCCACTGAACTCCTCCATCACGAGTAAAAGTGACCAAATCATGAAATTCAGTGCTGCCAGCTGGTTGAAAACGCCAAGTCACAGATACTGGCACCCATGAAGGATAGTGTGGCTTGATAATGCATTGTAAGTCAAATGATTCATTATAGGTGACTCCAGGTGTGCGGGAGATGGCTGTAACTGCAAAACCAGCATCTGCCAAAAAAAATACAATATAAAACACCACTTAAAACATTAATAAAGCTGGATTAACCTATACATGTAAAGAAACAACTAATTTTCTAACTATAATTCACAGAAAATTGCTGTAAGCATTATTTTTCTCAGTTAACATATTAAAACTCCAAAAGTTGATTTCTAGTATTACAGAAAGTAATCTCATTCCTGAAATTTAAGGAAAAAAATTGAGCTGGTAGTATTAAATGGAATCGTGCTTCTTACTTAACTTTTTTTCAAATGATCTGTGATGAAGCACAATATATTTTGTTTTCAAGTACTTTCAAGTAACTTTGTCGTTACTTATAAAACTGTCTTGTACTTCTAGATGTGTTGCTTGAATCAAAAGCAGACCTCCAATGTTGGTATTTATTGTTTTTAAATCTACAATATACTCTTAATATGCCACTCATGTCTGTAGATACTATGAAATCTTTTAACAGAACTCTTATATTGAAATATATAGGGTTTGATGAACTGTTGGAATAAAAATAGCCTGGTTTTAAATGTAGGAAAAATGAAAGTGATCATTGTCAATTTCATTCAACTGTGCAGGTGATTAGTAGTATCACGTTTTTGGGTATGCAGCTGGTGAGCAGGTTAGCTTTGTCGCTCAACAGTAAGTCACTGGTGAAGTGGGCACAACAGCACCTGCATTTTCTGTGTCATATGATCTTTCCCATATCCCTACCACTTTCTATAGAGGGATAATTGAAAGCATCCTGTCGAATTGAATTAGTCTGTGATTTGGAGATATCCCCGCAGCCTGGAACAGCTGATCGGTGGTATTCCCAGAGGCAGATCCAACCACCAATCAGCTACTCATGCTAAATCAGGCTGAGCTGAAGCTGACCAGGCTGTTGGCTGTTTGCTGCAAGGAGGCAAATTGCTGGGAGGTCAGAGGCAGATTTTTTCCTTGTTTTCCTCCCCAAAAGCTAGGTGCATTTTATAGTCCGGAGCATCTTAAAATACAGTATGTGTGTGTATATATAAAAATGAAATTCTGATTCCCCCTCTCAAAAGAATGAATGCATACGCACACACACTTTTGAGAATGGAAACGGACGTTGCTTACCTGAACGTCCCTTCTCGACGCGCAGCTGGAGAATCCAAAGCTTCGGGTTGTTCAGCAGTTGATAGCCTACACTGAGTGTGTTCCTTTAAGAGATTTCTCTTCAGACACGCCCACTTGCTCAACAGAGTCCCAGTTTTGTTCACGAAGTAAGGAGCAGTAGAGCGTCAGGAAGGAATGTCCAGCAGCCGGCTGGGTGGGTTGGATTCTCCAGCTGCGCGTCGAGAAGGGACGTTCAGGTAAGCAACGTCCGTTCTCCAACACGCAGCTTGGAGAATCCAAAGCTTCGGGATTTACCCAAGCAAGTTCAGACAGGGAGGGAACCCGGCTGCTGTACGTCGTCTGAAGAGTTGCATACAGCTTGGAGCACCCGGCGGCCGAAGGATGCCTCCGCCGAGGCAAAGGAATCCACCTTGTAGTGCCTGATGAAGGGGTTCAATGATGACCAGGTAGCCGCCCTGCATATGTCGGAAATGGAGGCATTAGTGGCCCAGGCGGCCGTAGTGGCGGCGCTCCTGGTGGAGTGCGGAAGAATTCTCTGCGGAACCGGTTTGTTCCTAGCCGAATAAGCCCTAGAGATGCAGGATTTAATCCATCTCCCAATTGTCGTGGAAGAAACCTTCCGGCCCATGGAAGCGGGCAGAAAGGAAATGAAGAGCGATTCAGATTTCCGGAAATGCTCAGTCCGCTTAATATACCGGCGCAGAGCCCGTCGGACATCTAGCAGGTGCCAGTCCGCTTCCCGAGGATGTCGAGGATCGGGGCAGAAGTCCGGAAGGATCAATTCCTGGGCTCGATGGAACGTGGAATTTACTTTAGGCAGGAATGAGGGGTCTAGTCTTAGTACCACGCGATTTGCGTGGAAGACACAAAGGTCGCTTCTCACAGACAGTGCAGCTAGTTCGGATACACGGCGAGCCGAAGTAATCGCGACCAGAAACGCCACCTTAAGAGCCAGAAAGCGGAGGCTGATGGAGGCGAGAGGTTCAAATGGAGGGTGCATGAGGGCCTGAAGGACCAGAGTCAAATCCCAGGTTGGGTATCGATGTATAACAGGAGGGCGCAGGTTGGATGCCCCTCGCAGAAAGTCGCGAATCGTCGGGTCCTGGGAGAGAGGAAGCTTTGCAGAAGTCGAAAGGACCGTACTAAGTGCAGCAACTTGGCGACGAAGAGTGTTAGGCGCAAGGTGCTTGTCCATGCCCCGCTGAAGGAATCCCAACACTTCGGGGACAGAGGCAGACGTTGGATCCAGGTGGAATTTAGCACACCAGGAGCAGAAGGAGTTCCAGGTTGCGTTATAAATGCGGCATGTTGACGGCCGTCTTGACGCCTGAATCGTGGGGATCGCATTGCTAGGCACGTTGGCTCGCCTTAGCAAGATCCGTTCAAGCGCCAGGCGGTCAACTGCAACCACTGCGGGTCTGGGTGCAGAATGACCCCCTGGCTGAGAACGATCCTGTCCCCTGGAATCCTCCACGGCCGTGCCACCGACAGGTCCACCAGATCCGCAAACCAGGACCTCCGAGGCCAGTGGGGTGCGACCAGAACGACGTCTGCCCTGTCTGCTATTATCCTGCGGATCAGACGAGGAAGGAGCGGTAGAGGGGGAAAGGCATAGAGGAGACCCCTGGGCCAGGGAGAGGCGAGGGTGTCGACTCCCTCCGCCTGAGGGCAGTGGTACCGGGTGAAGAACCTGGGGAGGTGAGTGTTGTCGCGGCTGGCAAATAGATCGATTAGAGGCGTGCCGAATCTGCGGACGATCTCGGCGAACAGATCTGGGTGAAGTCGCCACTCGGCGTGGTCCAAGTGTTGTCTGCTGAGCCAGTCCGCTGTGATGTTCGTGGTCCCGGCGATGTGCTCCGCCACCAGGGACAGGACGTGCGTCTCCGCCCAGATCAGCAGTAGGGTCGTTTCCTCCATCAATGGACCCGAGCGAGTCCCCCCCCTGGCGGTTCACGTGCGCCTTTGCTGTTACATTGTCCGTGCGTATCAGGACATGGTGCCCCGACACAATCTGCTGGAACCGTTGGAGGGAGAGGCGGATCGCACGGAGTTCCAACCAATTGATCCCGTTGAGGCTCTCCTCTGCTGACCACATTCCCTGGGCAATGTGGGATAAAAGATGACCTCCCCATCCCGTCAGGCTGGCGTCCGTTGTCACTACCAGGCGCTGTAGATTCTGGAAGTAGCTGCCCTGACGTAGGCTCTGGGAGGACCACCAGAGGAGAGATCTTGCGACCTCTGGCGGGAGGGAAACTTGTGTGGGAGAGTTGCTCCTCCTGGCTCTCTGAAAGGGGAGGAGGAACCATTGGAGCTGGCGTGAATGGAATCTCGCCCAAGGGACGACAGACAGGCAGGAAATCATTTTGCCGAGCAGGCGGGACAGGAGCAGCAAGGTCACCTTCCGAGAGGAGAGGACCTGTGATGTTAATGACTGGAGACTGGAACACCGGTCCGTTGACAGGAACACCTGACCCCTTACGGAATCTATTATTGTCCCTAGGTGAAGGATGCGAGTAGTGGGCTGCAGTTGGCTCTTCGGGATGTTGAGGGAGAAGCCATGATGACGAAGGCAGCGACACACCACTTCTAGGTCTCGGGATGCCCGGGCCGGAGAAGGGGAGAGCACTAGGATATCGTCCAAGTAGCAGTGGAGCCGGACCGGATGTTGACGTAGATGGGCCGCCACTGCTGCCAGGAGCTTTGTAAAGGTCCTTGGGGCGGAGGAGAGGCCGAAGGGCATTGCTCTGTATTGGTAATGCCTGTTGTTGTAGGCAAAGCGTAGGAAACGACGATGGGACAGTCGTATGGGTACGTGGAGGTAAGCTTCTTTCAAATCGATAGAGGTTATCCAGTCCGATGGTCGAATGGAAGCCAGAATTGATCGGAGGGACTCCATTTTGAACTGATGATATACTATAAATTCGTTCAGCCTCTTGAGATCTAGGATGCCTCTGTGACCCCCGGATGATTTGGGGACCAGGAAGAAAATTGAATAGAAGCCGGTCCCGCGATGATGGTGGGGAACCGGTTCGATGGCTTGGATTTGAAGCAGGTGATGGATTTCTGCCTCCATTAGCTGGCGTTTGTCCAGGTTGGGAGAAATAGGGCATTGGACAAAGTGTGAGGGAGGTCTGGAGCGGAACTCCAGGGTAAGGCCAAGACGGATTGTCTGGAGCACCCAGGCGTCCGACGTCGAGATCTCCCACTGGGGAAGAAAATGAGTCAGACGGCCGCCAATGGGAAGATGGATGTAGTCACTTCCCTCTTCGAAAGGTACGGGATCCCGTACCTCGAAATGGCCGTTTGGGTGCTGAGGCCTTTCGACCACGGTCTCTGAAGGAGGATCTATCGAGGGAACGGTCGAATCCTTGAGAATAGGGCCTTGAGGAGAAGGACCCCGAAGGGCCGGAGTCGTTCCGAAAGGGCTGCCTGGTGAAGTAGGACGATGGTCTACGATCTGCCCTCTTATACGAGGATGGCATCACCTTCCGTTTATCCTTGTCCTCGACAAGGATGGGGTCTAAGGCCTCTCCAAAAAGACGGGAACCCTTATATGGAGTTGAAGCGAGGCGCCACCTAGACTTGGCATCAGCTCTCCAATTTTTAAGCCATAATAGACGGCGAGATGTGACGGACGACACCAGGGCGCGAAGCGAACTTCGCGGCATTGAGCGAAGCGTCCGCCGTATATTCAGTAGCCGCCACCAGTTTGTTGACGTCTTGGCGGAGGCGTGAATCCGCCGGGGGAAGGCGCTCGTGAAGTTGGCGGAGCCAGATTAAGCAGGCACGACTGAAGAAGGAAGCTGAGGTGGCTGCCCTAACCGCCCAGGCGGCCGCGTTGTGAGTACGTCGGAAGTTAAACTCAGCTTTTCGGTCCTCTGAGCGCAAACCGTCGGCGACGTCG